GCCGCTTGGGGCTTGGTGGGCGGCTGCACAGGGGCAGGAGGCGGCCTACTTGCGCTGCTCGCCACAGCGGCTCGTCGCGGTATCGGGGGCGGTTGTACATTCACAGACTCGAGAGGCAGCTGGGGCTTTGCGAGAATCTCGACGGCGATCCTCGTCTTCTTGTGGCGGATGGCCTCGAACTCGCGCTCGGCCACGTCGAGGGCTCGCTTTGTGCGACCGCCCGCTGCAGCGCCGCCGTGGTGGAAGCTGGACGAGTTTGGCCCTGGCGCCGAGCGCGTGAGGGGGGCGCTGGCGTTCACGTTACGGTCATAGAGGTGAAGGCCCTCAGCTCGCCGGTTGGAGCGGGTGATGGAGGCCATTGGCAAGCTGGTCCGCGCCTGTCATGTTTCTTCAGGGCGGCTGGAGAGGTCGCTGTCGCTGTCGGGACACGCGTTGCCTCGATGCTTTGCTCGATGCACTGATGCCGATTGTTTCGTGCGACGTGACGTTTGACGCTCAACTGCAGCTTTCCCTCTACGCCTTTTTTTTTTTTTTCCTCTTGGGCGGCGGAAGGGGGCGCTCTAGCGCCTGCGCGTCATGGAGTTTGGTGGATTTTAGCGAGCAGTCCCAGCAGCTCTTGCCCCCATACCGCCTACAAGCCAGCGACGTTACAGGGCGCAAGCTCACTGTGGTAGCAGTGCTCAACCCCTTTTCAGGGCATTTGGAATCAGCTGCGCTGCTTGTTGGAAAAAGAATCAACCACGTTTGGCACCAAGTGCTCCACCTAATAATATGCCTAATGCTAGTCGGATACTCCGTATTACTCCCAGAAATTGTCGTCACCAGTTGAGAACAGTTGGATTTTTGACAACGCAATAGCCAACCCGAAGTCAAACTTAGTAAATCATAGTGTTATCTACAATGATTGATGTTAATTACGGTGAACCTTTTTTTTCTTTGGCAAAGAAGCATCCGTTGCTTCATTGCTTATACAACTAGGGTGGCTCACAGAAATAGAGACTATTACCCGGGAGAAGCAACTTCAGCTAGAAAGCTGAACTTCAATTTCAGCCGTATCATAACGCCAAAGTTAAACATAAATTCGCTCTATCTAGCTAGTCCCAGGGTATTTATGCGTACGGACCAAAATGCAAGCCCATTGTCCTGCGCCCAACCAGGTAATTATACCTTCCAAATGCTAAAGATGTGTGACAGCCCTCGCCCGAGATTCTTCGTCAGCTGCTGAAGGCACAAGATGCAGCTTCTCCATCGCCTTCACTGCAGTCTCTTCCACACGTGTGTGTTTATCAACCACCGCCTGCTGCTTCTCCTTTTCCAGAATTTCCCTTTCTCTCTGCGCACTCTTGCTGGTATCTACTTCCTCCTCCTCCTTCTTCTTCATCTCCTTTGGGTGTATTACTTTGTTCTTCCGGTGAATCATCTTGTGCATAAGATCCTTGCCCACACGTCGCGACTTGGTATATGTCTCTAGGCCAAGGAGGACGGCATAAGCCTTTGATATCGTCACATGTCCCACATCGACACCTTCAACCTTGAGGCTCCGAACAAAGGCACGGAAATTGGAGGTTGGTGGGCGGTAATGCCCACTCAGCGGAGAGAGAGAGCTGAGCTTGCCATCCTTGATGCTAATGAGACCTCCCGCGGATATTCGGGCCCCTTGAAGGAACGATGAGTGCTGAAAAGCACCCGCCTGTTTGATGCCTATGTAAAGCCTGAACGAGGTGTCGGCGACGAAGATCCAAGTACCGTCTCTGACCGTCTTACGGAGCAGTTTGTTTAGTGTTGTCGTAGCAGAGAACTGCTTTATCTTTTTGATATCTCGTTGGTCGGGCACTGGATTGACATGACGGTCTGCGCGACGCTGTTCATGACTCGAATCAAGATATGACGTAGATGCATTGGAAGTCATTCCGCTAGCTGAGTCGGCGTAGGGATTCGGATGCTCCATCATCGGTCGGTACGGTGGTGCTGGGTCGTCTACAGGGACGATGCCATATATGCTGTCTCTATATTTTTGTGACGTGTCGATGGGCTCTCCGTTCTTGGCCCAGCATAGCCGGCCTTGGTCGTCGACCGTGGCCAAGTAGTACTGGCGCTCTTCTCGCGACAAGTATCGCACTTGATCCCTTTCGAGTCGCTCTCGCGGGCAAGTGTCAAGCGATATATACCGGCCTTCCCCATAGTCGAGCCAATAGAAGAAATTTTCATTGGTGTCAGCTTTCCTCCATTCTTCGTGATACATGCGCAGGTTTGTACCATATCGGTGCTTCTGATCTACGATTTCTAACCAGTACTGCAGCCCCAACGTGAGAGCGGTTTTTCGTCGTTGGGCATTAGCTTCTTCACGAAGTCGCCGCAACTCTTCTCTTTCATGCAGTGGTAGGCTCGCCGACCCAGATGAGCAATCCGAATCGGATTCTTCCTCCTCATCATCGTGACCGGCGCGCAGCGCAACCATGCTCAGCTTCTTCCAGTTTGATCGCGCGGTTGATGCATGGAAATCGGGTATGTCTCCAAGTGACAACGTATCTTGACTTGCGCCGGTGAACGACCGACCTCGAGGTCGCGTTGTTTCGCGGAACTGTGCCTCCCGAATCGCAGTTATCCATCTTGTACTCGGATCCAAGGTGAATCCACTCATCTCCCTCCTTGCTCGGTAGCCGCGAAACGTTTTCTGAATAATGCGTGCAGCATCGCTCATCTCATCGCTCCTGCTCGACCGCAAACTCTGCTTGCTTTCTTGAAGCGACTTGTGCCTCTGATGCTTGACTCTTTGCCTAATTTCCTCCTCCTTCCCCTCCTGCACCCGAGCGATGCGCTCAAACTGATCTTGGGACGGCGGTACCAGCGAATCCATATACTGCTGTGATTTCGTCGAGGATGAGGTGAGGGTCGTGAAACTAGAGGTCAAGCTAGAGGTAGTCATGATGCCCGGCACCTCCCGTGGGAGACCACCTCCGCGGGGCTGCGGGGAAAAAAAAAGGCAAACTCTAGGATTATCGACACTCTCTCATCTCATGGACGGAGCTGTTTGTGAGAGGCGAGTCGCTTTTATACGAAAATGGGAGCCGCCTTTGACATTCGGGATGCTCGGGTGGGTTCTTGGCGTTCAAGAGGAGAATAGCCAGCTCGATATCCGGTTGCAGGGTTTAGGAATTTGTTGGTGCTGGTTCTACAGGCCGCACTACGAAGCGGGAGGGCGGCCTTTAAGACAGTGATAAGAACTAAAAAAAAAGGGACGGTAGCCACCTTGAACGGACCCAATAACTAGCTGTAGCTTTGCTGAAGAAGGGAAAATGTGATCAGAAGCTGACCACTTGTCTCCGGCCCCTGAACTGGGTACAGATATTGCTGTTGATGACGGAGTGACGCAAGGACCCGAAAGGCAGCTGTGGTATATATACCCAAAAGCACCGCCTCTCATCTGAGACGGGCGGCCATCTTGGTCTGAGTTACCCAGCAGTACGGGTACCATTGTACCTTTTATCCACAAGTATTGGTGCACTAGATGGAAGGCGGAATATGACCTTGAATGCGGTGCTCTGGTGCGATTCCATTGTACGTAGTACATACGAGTTGGTATTACAGATAAAAAACCAGCTCGAGTCTCACTAGCATTTACATCTAGTGATGGAGTAAGATGACGTGACGTGGGTCCCAGCCATCTTGTTACTAAAATAGGACTTGTTTAGAGCAAAATAGCAGCATAACGAATCCCGACCGACCACGGGTTCTCCATGGCCTGTATCTGATCAAATACAGGCGCCGATAATATTTTGTTTTCGTATGCTATGGATGTTCATGCTCGGAAAAATTTGGCAACCTAAAGAGAAGCCAAAGGCAGGGATGATGATCGTAATGTTGCTCTGTTAGGGCCCAAGTCCCAAGGGGGGGCGGTGCAGCTGTCATTCATAGTAGTAGCAGTACTAGCTAGGTAGTAAATCTTGGAATCCTCCGAAATATACTCGAAGCAGTACGATAGATCGCCCAAATCCGCGTGTCACGCCGCCAAGAGAGGACTTGACATGATATTATCTCTCTCTCTGGGTCTTTTCTTTTTGTTTTGTCTTGTTATGTGACCTCCTGTCTCAGAAGCAGGACATTCTGGGCCAACCAGAACAGCGTTGGTTCGGCCGCTCGAGCGACAATGTTTGAGGCAGTGCAGGTCGGACCGTCGCACAGATGGCGCGAATTCTGGAGACGGGGATATAGGTATTATGTAGGGCTGTAGATAACATTGTATATGGAGAACGGGTTTAGTGGTATTACGGAGTCGACGCATGGGAGTCTGACGCTCGTGTCAGCCATCGCGTTTATTCTAGAAGGTTGAAACAGCCAGGGTGCGTGCCGCGCTTAGTACATAGAACGAGCTGGCATTGTAATAGGTGTAATAGGCATGGAATCAATGGACATGATACAGGGGCGTATCGCTCTGAAGTACGATCAGTTGTTCAATGCAGACGTTACCAGGCCCTGTTTCTATTGCTATTAGGTAGTGGTTGAAATAGTGTTTTAGTGCCAAAAGTGTATAACGCCGTGTTTCAAGAAAAAGTTTTAGTCATTCATAGTGCCCATCAGGAACATTGATAGCAAATAATTTGACAGGCCAAGGCACTTACCTACTAGGTAACCTCATGCTCAATCTCTGTGCAAATGCCACATTGCCAGACATCATCCACATTCGTCCATATATCATTACAAATTCCTTCATTACCATTACATATACTGCAGACTATCGTACATAACATGACAAAGCCCAGCCGCTCTGGCGCATATAAAGACTCAAGCTAGGATTATAATACAATACAAAAATACATGCTCAAAATTAGATGCGAGAAATATTACCTAAAAAGGAAATCTCAAGCTCATTTATCCAGCTCATCGTGCAGCAGCACGTGGGTGCTACTTTGGGCCATTCGGCTAAAAGCGATGCGCAGTTTTCAGAGCCCGCTCCTTCGGGGAAGAAAAAATGGAAGAGAAAGAGAAAAGCGGCCGCGTGATTACGCAAATAGGAAGTCTTTGAGAACAGGCGAACCCGAGAACTCTGGGTTTAGTAGTATACAGCTATAAAGATCGCGTTAGCTTGTGTATGAGCAAGAAGCGCATAAAATGGGAGTTGGATTTTCCCGTACTTGAGAAAATATTGCAGGCCAGCCCGGCGCTTCTCCAGGAACTTGGGACGGAATTTGAATAACGCGCTCTTGGGCGGGAGTTCCGGGACTGCCGCTCTGAAGTTGGGAAACGATTGTGTCAGTTTTCGTCGAAAGTCGTCAAATTCAGAGTAGCGCTTCCGAATATTCATAAAGCTTCCCTGTTTAGAACAAGCAAATATTAGTCAGTCAATGGCCATATTTTTAATTGTATGACGTCGTTGAAGCTGGCGCAGACGCACAATGCCGCATCTGCAGAGGGAGAGGAAACAACAACTCACATTCAGCGTTTCGACTCGGATATTCCAGACGATGAATGCGCCAATGTTCGTGTTGCTGCCATTGACAAATATGTAGTCGGTAATCTCTACGCTCTTCGCCCAGCATGCGCTATTCCTATCGTCATCGCTCGTGTCGTTGTCGCGCAACCTTATTGCCCCGGCTGGTAGGAAAGACTCGGTTGACATGTTGGAGATGTTTCGCTGGTGTAGATTGACATGAGGCCAGTAGGGAGGAGGTGATGTGACCGAGCTCGTAGCAGAGAGAGCGCTGTGCAGCGCTTCGTCGTTGTCGCCGCCATGATGGCTTTCGCCTTGGGAGCGGCCGCCTCTGGGGGAGAGATTGGTGTTTATGCTCAAGGTGCGACTTGACGGCGGTGTTGCGTTGGACTCTGCAAGTGGCGATGGCCCTGCCTGGCTCGTCAGGTCGCCTTGCGCATTGTCCTGGTCCGTGTCTACAGCCGAAGCCATTCAGCCATGTGGAGTGAAGGGGTCGCAATGCTCGCGGAAGTATCGATTCGATCGGGGTGATTTATTATAAATCAATGCGACAGCAGCCAGGTCTAAATTCCTCTGTACGCTCTAGCTCTTGGCTGGATAACACAATTGCGAGCGGGATTGCTCGAGAGTTGCGATGAGGGAATAGCGATGCTGGTGATGGTAAATTCTATGTTCCTGGCCGTCTTGATTGAGCGCCAGAGTGCATAGCAAAGCTGTAGATGTATGAGATAAGATCCCAAATGGGACGCCTCTCAAATTTGTGGCCTATCAGTATCCTCCACTGTCTCCGAATCACATTAGTAGTCCGACAGTGGCGTAGCTATCCCGGCAGCTAAAAGCTGCAAGCGGCGTGGGGTCTATTCAGAAATGGGTCTGACATTCACAGCAAATTAGGCCTTATATGATGATTAGGTAATGCACACAAGCTCTCACGGAAAGCTGCGTCTCTCAGATAGTAGTAGAAATTTTTTTGTTCAAGTGTTGAATTATGCTTATTATTCTGTCAATGCTGAAGAACTGCACGTATGCATTATTATAGCCAAATCCAAGCAGTTGATGGGAATATGCTTAGCGGTGTTGGACTTCAGTGGAATCATGTACAGAGCTGGAAGAAAGAAACCCAGCAGCGTATTTCACCAGCAGGCCATACCGTTAGAGTAGGCTCTAAATCTAGGTTCTAGATAGTTTAATTGGCTACATCTTTTATTTTCTATATGATAACTCATCACCGAACTTGCGAGGGAGCTGCAATAAATATTGTCGAAAAAGCGAGATAATCATCGCCGAAAAATCGAGGGAACCACAATGAATTAATGTATAGCCAATTAAAAGTCATTATAGAGCTTTATAAACCAATTAAACTCTCTAATTTTATATTTATTGCAGTTCCCTCGCAAGTTCGACAAAGTATAGACTTTAATTAGCTGGATTCTTTGTTTTCTCACTTTTTACTTTAAAGTCTCGAAAAGCGAGGTAATACGGTGTATGGCTGTTGGTAATTGCTAAGTTTATACCTATGCTTAAATGCAGCTTGGTCCCTGTTATATGAGCTACAGTTCACGCATGCATAGCATCCCATTCACTGGGAAAGCTTGGGTCATTGTTTGGGTTCCGTAGAAAGAAAACAGAGCTTACTATTGCTCCAAAGCTCTCACCATTCAGCACTCGGTGGCTTCTTTGGCAGGATCTCGCCCCCAGATGGATTGACCAATGCAATTTAGCATCTAACAATCAATATTCACCCTCGCAGCTTGCTTCAGGTGCTCGACTGTGATGTGGCTATCGAAGAAAATCTGCACGACACCATCCATTATAGCGTTTTGGCTGCGTCCGTTCCATACACAATGGATATCCTTCGGCCAAACCAGAGAAGAGGGCGATATGACTATTGTATCACCGCCAATCGTGCAATATCAACACAAACCACACATGTAGGTAAAGATAGTCTTCCTCGACCGGAGCAGCTATTCCTGGCGACCACTGTTGATGGCTACCCCTTTTGTCTCGCGGCGCAGCGCAGTTCGGGGTTACCGGAGGAGTGATGCTAAGATAACTTCAATGCTCTCCCCTCGCACCAATAAATTGACAAAGTCGGGACGAGAGATAAGGCACGGCATTCTGTAAACGGGTAAATACTGGACTGCAAGTAGTACAGAGTGGAAAGCCGCTCGTTCTGGCGCCCTGAGTGTGCTGATCATGCCCGAGAAGACGACGGCTGTGCTACTTGCACGTCGGCCACGCTGTCACTAGAAAAGCTTGTGACTCTATATGGAGACATTCGATGTCCTGGCTGCATGCCTACTGCAAGTAGAGCAGATGTATCAGCCTATCTCGCATGCTGTCGTTTATTGCCACCGTCTCACTATGTTACGAGGCACTCACAGCAGATGGCGATCCCGATTTTAGCAGTTCGTTTTTACGAAATATTTGTACAAAGCATCCGTTTCCTCGAGCGCACACGACGGTATACGGCAAATGCTTTACTTTTCATTGACCCTCGGAGTGAGCATTTTGATAATAAATCACCCCATTACCCGTATTCATGCACCAGCCCAGCGCTTTAGTATACGAACGAGCGTAGGACGTAACGGCAGAGTCATCGGTGGCATTACGAGCATTTTGCCTAATACTACTCCGTATTAGCAAAATAGTACTTTTGCTCTGGACTGATCGCCGCCTGATACTCATGCTACTGCACGCTGCGTAGTCCGTAAAGATGTACCATCCCCACACCAAAACGGTTATAAACGGGGGCCGTTTCGGCGATATCGCACTCAACTCTCTCCTTGGCTCTCATTCGCGAGTCGCTGCTCCTCCTCCACTCCAACGTCGTTCTGCCCCAGATTTTGAGATCTACGAGCCAAGCTTTTTGAGTGCTCAAGCTGGGAATCGCTGCTTTCCTATTTATTTCCTCCTGTACGGAGTACGGCACGATAGAATCGCATCCGATGCATCTAAGCATACTTGTGCTCCAGCCTTGATCTCGCGATGCTGGGGATGCTGGGCAAATTCTCCATAATGCCACTCGTACGGTGGCCCGAGGGTCAGACTCATGCTACGTATCCGTTGCCTGTCTCCAGAATTAATGCCGAGTAACGTACAGCAACCTACCTAAGTAGGGAGAAGGAATGGGGCCGTACTGGGATGCATGTCTGACAGGTCATGTATTTGCCCTTGTCGTTCGTCGAGTCCGAAGGGGACTCCGTTCAATGTGAGGACACGGGCCTCGACGGGGCCAGAACCAAGGGAAAATTTTCAGGATATCATGAATCGTATACGGGAGCCTGGTATGCATGCAAGCGGTGCGAAGAAAAACAGGGACCGCAAAATGAAAATACACACACAAATTGAAAGTATGAGCACTATTTGACCAACTAAACAGTGGATACTGGTGTCAAATTGGTGCGCGAAGTTGAGAATTGTGTGCCGATCGTTTGCAAATTCCCCGTTTTTCTTCACACCCCTTGGCATGCTTCTCCTCCCTCGCATCGCTAGCAGAATTTTGTATTTGTGCGGTAGTGTTATGACAATCGGGGCCCCGTTGCTCAAGTGGATCTCCCCACGAATGAGACTTTCAGTCCAGCCAGAAACCACGCATTCCTGCTGCATCTTGATATACCAGCGTGCGGAGAGCACGGAGCATTTTCACCTGTCGATGGAGGAACAATAGCCGTCTACTGGACGCAAGTGTCTGCATAAGTGCGATTGTAGCTCCCGGCCCCATTTGCATGCATAGCAGAATACGAACGGCGCAGATGCGGCACAAAAAAGGATAATGTGTATGGACGTGTATGGATGGGTGGCCCTTGGGATTATCGTCAAGCGGAGAATCCTAGCTCGATGGAAGCTCGACTGCTTTCGACGTCCTAGTGCGTTTTCGCAGGCTCGTAATCTTGGATCCATGGACCTTGCGGCTCGGCTTGATGAAGGGCCCGCCTACCAGACTGCAAACACAGCGCACATGGGGAATATTGGCTCAGGCATTGAAGGCCAATGGCAGGACATGACAGGCAGACAGCCGCTGCACTGCTTGACAAAGGGAGGAGCTGGCGTTTTGCTCTGGATTTCATCTCCCCTTTGCCTCTGGAGAGAGAGACTCTTCATTTCCCGGCTCGCCCAACATCTCATAAAAGGGGGGAACTGCAAGCTCGGATCTTTCCACTAGCCGGCGACGACGCGCTACCAGCAGTGCTACCGTGCACTAGCGGGCATCGGATTACTGCTTCCTGGGAGATGTGCCTCGTATGTGTGTACATGCACCGCCTAGCACGGGCAAAGAACGGTCCAGGTAGTCAGCGTCGCGGCCAGGTACGGAGCATTCGCTGTCGATGGTGGGGGCCTCAATATCGCCTGGCCACTAGGCCGACAAGGGTCGACGGTCCCCCAAAACTAAGTGCGGATGTGCAGTAGTTGCTGGATAGTAGCTTTGGCGTGGAAGTATCGTAGCAGTTGCGGATGCTGTAGCTCACTCCACGACGCAAACCTCCGCAGCGCAACTGGCCATTTCTACGTCGTCTCTGGCCAGAAACCAACATGTGAGAACCCAGCAGCCCCGTTTGGGTGTTTGCTTGGCGGGGAACACGAAATGGAGCTAGGCCTGATACTGAAGCTGCCCGTTTTGCTGCGCGGTTGGTGCGTCCGTGTGCTTGATAGCGAAAGCTAAAGCTCGAGCTGGGGCCCTTGGACGAGCTCGCCTCCTGGTCTCGCTTCCCACCCGCCCTGGTCAATGGCCGAGTCTTGGCTTTTCTGGAGAGATTCCGTGCCGGGGCTCCGTTGCCTCCGCTGATAAAAGTGCTTTTCCTCCTCGGACGTGCCTCCTTCTTGATCCTGTCCTTTCTCTCGCCGCCGCTGCCATCTCTGTCGTTAACGAGTCGTCGTTTGCTGAGCTCTTTCGCTGCTTGCCTTCGTTTGCTGTCTCTCGCTTTTGCATTTGCATTTGCAATCCCTGGTGCAGCTGCTGTTTATACATATAATTGTGAGTGGTGCAAACCTGCCCTTGTCAGGTGGCTCCTGGTCACCTTTGCATCTCGTCTACCTTGTCTCTTATCATTCTGCCCTCTTCACTCTTCTCTCCCTCATCCATCCATCAAAGCAATTGTGTCTTATATCGCATCACTAATATCGGCTCGGTGCTAGATTTTACAGTATCATCTCTTCATCACGAACGTTTTCGTCACTTGAATCAACATGGTCTCTTTTAAATCAGTTTTTCTGGCGGCGACGACGGCCTTTGCTGCCGTAGGTCAGGCTCAAGAACAAATTGACCCCGACAGCGTGCCCCTCGCCACAAGAAGTGAGATGATTGCCGGGAGATGATACACAACCAATTGATGCTAATATTGGAGCAGAGTCGTGGTGTCAATACGAAACCTCATCGTGCCCGCTCATTTGTTCACAAATCACAACTAAGACGACGTTGGTGAACGAGTGCAACCCGGTATGTGCTATCAGAAACACTTCCATCGGCAAGGTAAAACATTGCTAACGGCCAAGTAGAACACTTTGCAATATGGCTGTCTCTGTGGAAATAACCAGCAGCCTAACATCACTGAATACTCATTGACACTGCCATACTTCATCTGCCAGGAGTTCGTTGTCCAGTGCAGAAATGCCTGTGGAACGGACAGCACATGCGCGACCAACTGCGCCGTCAACCACCCTTGCGGTGCCACTGATCCCAAGCGATACAATACTACTTCAACCGCCTCTACCACCGTTCCTGAAGCTACCCCTTCCACCACAGGCTCCGACACTATCTTCACTAATGTCCCTGGTACTACCGGCAGCAGTGGTGGCAAGGGCAAGTCGATGGCAGCTCCTGCTGTTGAGGTTTCAAAAGCATACGGACTGGCGGTTCTGTTTGGAAGCATGTTTGTTGGGTTTGCTATGCTATAATATGCGTATTCATGGGAAGGGAACAATGCGGTCGAGCAAGTAATAGATTGCTCTTTTGGGATCGCTCATAATACTTGATTGGTTTGCTTGTTTATTGGAGCGTGCGTCTTACATTTGAATAGCGTTATGTGTACTGGGCAAAGTTCGTCATGGGAAATACTTAATATTACGGAATGCATGTTTTGATACGACAAATTTGAGATTATTTATCCAGCTTGCCGAAGCGTTTTTTTTTTTCCCTCCTTATTCTTCCTCTTCCTCTACTTTTCTCCTTTTTTTTTTCCCCCTCCGCTTTTGATTCTCTTCGTGGCAGACTGTGCGCCTCTTTGCTTAGCAAAAGCGAAGAGACAATTTTTTATGCGCTGGCCAGGATATTAATTCGGAGCTTTGACTGGGAAGTTGCATTTAGCCTATCAAAATTGACTGGCAAAAAAATCTCTCCATATCCGACGCTTAACACATGACGCTTCAGAGCTCACGCGACCCTTTCCAGGTGGCCGCCATCGGCGCCAGCGAAAGTTTTGATCCAGAGCTGGTTTATGTGCACTTTTGTGTCTTTCAACAAGGCCAATCACAAGCCCAGTTCCCCAGCTCCGTATCATGTGCAGGATGATCGTGCATATAGTGACGGATGGCAGCTGCAGGGAAGAGGCTCTCCTAGCACTTAATATACCCGGCGCTGCGATCCAGCGTGCCAACGTCACGCTAATATCAATGACATAGTGGCGTCTGTTGGAATACGTACAGTAACCGCCAATATTCTGCTAGATTCAGTGCCCCAGCAGGTACCTATACTAAGCTAAGATGTGCCACGAGATTTGCCAATAGGACCAGTAACGGTTGTTTGCTGCTTGGCGCCTCAACGAATTCGGGCTTTCACGTGCTGGTGACGGTCATTTTAGATTACCAGAGCGGGGGCCGCGTCAATGATCCTCCACTAGGCCATGGGTGCTTGGCCTTAGAAGCACTTTGGGAGCTTTTTGGGGGCTATAGCGGTTCCAGCTCAGGGGATTTAGAGGCCCACGGGCAGATTTTCCGAGGCTCTTTACCGGGGTCAGGGCCACAAATCGCAAGTTTTCATGCACGCCTCCCAACGAAACCACACTCTTGGTCACTTGGCCGACCAAAAACTCTGTCTGAAGTTTGCGCAGCGTCCAGACGCACGGGAGCAAGGAGTAACCTACTAGTAGTTCTCCCGCAGAACAAACCTAGAGCAGCGGAAAGCTCCCCTGCGTGCCTTTTTTAAAAAGAACCTCCTACCTCCCACTATCCGAGCCCCCGGCTCCCCCCCTCTACGATGTCTACAGTCAACACGCTGCCACTGCATCAGGGTGATATTACCTCAACACGAGGTGGTAGCAGCATGGCCCCTAACACAAGTAAGTAAGGATATATATGTCTCACGCTCGAGAGCAACGATTTGTTCTTGGGTTGCCGCTGGTGGCTGGCCGTTCCGGCGCTATCGACAATTGACGGCCGGGAGGAATTGTTCTTTTTGGTGGAGGCGCGCAGCTAACCATATTGGCGGAGTAGAACAGGCTGTGGCCGAGTGCATCTCGGACGATGCCCTGATCCATTTGAAGTCGTACAAATACTCGAGCGTTGATAAATCACCAGTGTCGAAATACATTCTTGGTCCTTGGGTACGGCTCACCGATTATTCCCCCATATCCGCATGACGTTGCGGTTCGCCCCCCTTCATCTCCATCCCCCTCCGCACGATCGACACCAGCCAAAAAAAAAAAAAAAAAGATTAGGGATCCGATACAAATGGTAGCTAACAAGCAATGCTTTGCAGTGGAACGCCTTTGTCGAAGTATTACCGCTATGGATCGCGCCAAATATGGTCACCCTTCTGGGGTTTTTCTTCATTCTTTTCAACGTCGCCTTGGTGGTCATCTATATGCCTGATCTAGTGGGACCAGTACGTCACCAACATTCGACCGTGCCTGTGCGCAACTGCGGGTGGTTTTGCTGACTAGGAGAAATCGTTACAGGGGCCGTCATGGCTGTACTTTAGTTTTGCGTTTGGCCTTTTCATGTACCAGACGATGGATAACGTCGACGGAAAGCAGGCGAGAAGGACCGGCACCTCGAGCGGCTTGGGCGAGCTCTTCGACCATGGCATCGATTCGCTTAACTGCACTCTCGCCAGTTTACTTGAGACGGCTGCCATGGGACTGGGTACCTCGCCCTCTGGTATCTTCACGGCCCTTATTCCGTGTCTTCCCATGTTCTTCTCAACGTGGGAGACTTACCATACGCATACGCTCTACCTCGGCGTCATCAACGGCCCAACGGAAGGCCTCCTCATTGCCTGCGGCATCATGATCATCTCCGGAATTTACGGGCCAGACGTTTTCACGAAGCCTCTCGCACATATCTGGGGCGACCACTTGGAGGGAGTGGCCCATCTCATTGGAGACGTCTCTTTCCGGGATATCTGGGTTGGCATGATCGTCTTCCTGTTGGTCACTACCCATATCCCCTTTTGCGTCTTGAACGTCGCCCGTGCGCGCCAAGCGAAGAATCTCCCTGTTCTTCCCGTGTTCCTCGAGTGGATTCCAATGGCCGTCTTCACCGTTTGCACTGGTGCTTGGGTCTTTTCTCCTTACAGCTCGCTCATGAAGGACAACCACCTCGTCCTCTTTTGCTGCACCATGTCCCTTGTTTTCGGACGTCTCACTACCAAAATCATCCTTGCGCACTTGACCCGTCAACCATTCCCATACTGGACTGTCATGTTGACTCCGCTGGTTGGAGGTGCTGTTCTTGGTAACCTTCCTCGAGTTGGCTTTCCTCAGATTAGCCCTCAGCTGGAGCTGTTTTACATGTGGGGATATTTCTTCTTCGCAGTGGTGGTTTATTTCCGCTGGGCTTATCTGGTGATCACCAGTATCTGCAACTTCTTGGGCATCAATGCTCTTACCATTCCAAAGGAGAAGCAGCTGGCCAACAAGCTGGCCGCCAGAGCCGCCACCAAGCTGCACTGAAAGACGACGATTATTCCTTTTGCCTTTTGAAATTATAGGCTCTTTCTTCTTTTCTTTCATCATTTTCTGGTTTCTATTTTTTTCAATTCTTTTTTTCTTAAACACAGATAATGCCCTCATGAAACGAAGTTAGAGATGTCGATGCGGGATAGGATTTCAACACCCAGCAAGCAAAATAAAAACGGACGATTGGACAAGATTTCAACCAACTAGAAGATATTGTTTGGGGCAACTATAAAGAGACAGAACAAAGAAGGGAGAGAGCAACTTGTATATGAGCGACCTGATAGTATGGCACGCATGGCAGACCGGCGTTGGATTGGTGCTTTTGCGCTTCTATTATGAACATGGTCCAGCCTTTGGGAACTCTGGGCTACAAGGATGAATGATTTGTACCGATTTTTTTTTTTTTCCCTCATTTTCTTTTCCTCCTCCTATTAATATCGGGACTATATAGATTCAACGTCATGCTTAACAGTCACCATTATGTCTAATAATATTTAAGAAATTTACAGAAGGCTCCCCAGAGGAACCGGGTTAACATGAAACGTGTGTGAATAGCTTGAACATATGAACTGCAGCATCACTACCTGGACAGTAGAGAATTCAAGACTCTGCAAGCCACTTGGGGACTAACGGCGCCCAATGCATTGTCTGCCAGGAACAGGAACAGGGTCCTGGGGGACTCCGCAAAATGCGGTTTAGCGGGGATGGCTCCCGTAGCGCCGCAGGTGGCCACTTTGGCTGATGCTAAGATAACGGCCAGAACCTTGGTAGATAACAGATTAACTATAACGATGCCGCGGCGCTACGCAGTGACAACTTTATCCTAAACATAATCTTTTGTCCGGCATTGCCTTTTCTTTTTCTTTTTTTGTTTTCAATTCCTGTTATTGGGGGAGAGTGCAGTAGATCATAGCGTCGAAGATGCCTTTCAACGTCTTGCGGGCATCCCTCGTGGTGCCTCTCGTTGGCCTCTTCGGCGCAGCGCTCGGCATCGGGACTTTGACCGACGACGATTTGCGAAACCTGCCATCTCCCGGCAGCGATTTCGACATTCACAACGGGAAGCTTCTGGCTCCAATTCTCATACCGCGAGTGCCGGGCACCGAAGGACAAGTCAAGACACAGCGACACTTTGTTGACTTCTTCAAGAGCAATCTGCCAGAATGGGAAATGCTATGGCAGAACTCGACCTCCAAGACGCCGGCGACCGGGAACAATGACATACCATTCTCGAATCTCATCTTCCGCCGCGATCCGCCCGATTCTCGCGAGGGAGAGGTCGGGAGACTGACGCTGGTGGCGCATTACGACAGCAAGTTGGAACCCAAGGATTTCATTGGGGCGACGGACAGCGCGGCGCCGTGTGCAATGCTCCTACACATTGCGAGGAGCATTGAGGGAGCGCTCAAGTCGAAATGGAGTGCGTCGGGGGCAAATGACGGGCTGGACGACGATTTCGAGTCGGATGTTGGCGTGCAGATTATTTTGCTGGACGGAGAGGAGGCCTTTGTGCGCTGGACGCAGACGGACTCCTTGTATGGTGCGAGGTATGGATTGCCGTTACTCTGTTCTTGATATTTTCCTATTCCTCATCGGCATCACTAACTTTTTGTTTCCTTTTTCAGATCTCTGGCCGAGACTTGGGAATCCGAGTTCCATCCCACCATGTCGACTTACAGGACGCCTCTACACTCCATCAGCCTCTTCGTTCTTCTGGATCTACTTGGGTCGCCTGATCCCCGTGTGCCATCCTACTTCCCAACCACCCACTGGGCGTATAAGAACATGGCATCGCTAGAGAAGCGCATGCGCGATCTAGGTCTTCTCGAGTCCAAACCCGCCCATCCCTTTCTACCAGACGGAAACAAGCAGTCTAGCGAATTCGGCTACGGAGGCATCGAAGATGACCATATTCCCTTTCTGAGACGAGGCGTTGATATCCTTCATTTGATTCCCACGCCTTTCCCTAGCGTGTGGCATACGATGCAGGATGATGGGGATCATCTTGATATGCCCAGCGTCCATGACTGGACTAAGCTGGTTCTAGCATTCACAGCAGAGTGGATGGATTTGTCCGGGCATTTCCCAAAGGAGCCGCCAAAGTCTAAGAGGAGCGAAACGACGATTGAACCAAGTAAAAGGACTGAGTTATGACTGCGTTGGGGGGAAAGATTATATGATTGAGAATGCTAGAAAATGGTTTGATCTTGGTCAATGAGCGTTCATGTTAGTAGACCATAGCTGGATGACAAGAATATTGCGAAGCTAGCATTGTATTGAAGACTTATTTGTATATATACTGATAAATTTGATCAAAATCTTCTATAAGAATCATGAATACCTATGAATCCGAGGCCCCTTCTCTGATTATACTGGCATCATATGTCTGATGTCTTCCAGAGGCAGCATAGTGCATATTAGTACAGTGCACAATGTCGAATACACTGTGTGTTTGATGTGGCCACTACTAAGCAGCCAATCACAGCGCCCCACCACGCGACTCTACGGCACTACAACCACGTAACCTTTAGCACCAAAGCTGTCTAAGCTGTCATCTTGGAGCAGCGTCTTCCTCGTCCACCAACGTCATCTGCCAACATGCGTTTCTCCGTAGCCTCAGCAATTTTGGCGCTCGCCTCCGTTGCTTCTGCTGCTTCCTCGTGGAGTATTACCGAAGGCACTGTCAAAGTGACCTCAAAGAGCGGCAATGACGCAGTAGAGAAGTGAGCTTTCCCCGATGCCAAGAACGAGCTTCCTTTGGCCACCCGACCAAGCCTTACACCTTTACTTTTCCCTTGAATAGGAAATTTGAGGCACAATTGCTAACAATTGGCATTGCTTTCAGATTCAACGGTGCTGATCGAGTCCGAAACACACTCACTTTGGGCCACCAGGACAAGCTCAAGGTTACGGTCATAACAAAAGATGGCTCCAAACCGAAGCGACCGCATCAAGCTTTCCTCGTTGTGAAGGAGTCATTATCTGGATTGGAGGCACCTTTCCCCTTGACCGTAAAGGACTCTGGAAAGGGATCTGTTGAAATTGTATGTTGGAATCCGAAAAGGCCAGAATAAGAGAACAATTGGCGAGCAAGAACTAATACCAAGGCAGTCACAAAAAGATCTCCCTAGTCAGCTGCTCCTCTCCGAGGGCCCTCTCTCCGCCAGCCTTATCGTCGCATCTTTTGGCTCATCCCAGGGCTTGGTCACTCCTGTTTTCGACTTCAATGTCAAGCTGGACCCTGTCGCCACTGTCGAAGTCCCCCCGAAGCCGCTACGATATGGCAAGCTTGCTGAGATCCACCACATTTTCCGATCCGATCCCAAGAACCCTCCCGTGATCATCTCAATTACATTTGCTCTTGCTGTAGTGGCTACTGTGCCGGCACTGTTCATTGGCGTATGTTTGAATATAGTCATCCCAGATGTGAATAACAAAAGAAAAGTGCATATACTAACTTGCGATAGTGGTTTGCTCTTGGGGGAAACTTCACTCATGCGCAGAAGGCTCTGGGAAATGCTCCCATCTCGCATGTCGTTTTCTTTGGATCAATCATTGCGATGGAGGGCGTCTTCTTTCTCTACTATACACAGTGGAATCTGTTCCAAGTTCTCCCCGCGATTGGCGTTGTTGGCGTCACTGCCTTCTTGAGCGGAAACAAGGCCTTGGGAGAGGTCCAGCGCCGACGCCTGGCTGGTGAGAGGTGAGGATGAAGGAGAGTAAGATGTTTGGTTAAATAACAGTAGAGATGGGGGTTGTTCTCTCGAGTTAGAAGCAACTGGGCTATATCTCTCTACATAGTAGTACGGTTGACAGCAAGAGCCATTGGCATCCGGCGGGACGTGAATCGCCGCAATTGATGATATGAAAGATGAAGGAATAAAGATGCCTTATCCAGATGGTGTAAAATTATAGATATATATTCAGGCATAGATGGCCTATTATTGAAAGAGATCGAGCCCAATGTTGTCGCGCAAGTTAATCCGATGAGGCTCAGCACCAATGACGCTACGTTGTCACCCTTGTTATGATGATGTCAGCAGCTTTTGACTTCCAACCTCATCAATACGATCCCGCGCGCCGTCGTCATTAACAAAACTCTCTAAAAGTCGACGACTCCAGTATTTTTTAAGCCTATATTAGAAGTTTCAACTCTTTTGCATAAGGCTACCCTGATAAGCAGACTACAAAGCGCCATATTTGCTACGAATTGCCGATCTGGAACCTGCCGGCCAGCCTAAACCAAATAGCTAGCTGGCTTGCGATCCTAGATTCAGAGGTGTTCTCCGGACAGCTTGAGTGCTTGAATAAGTTTTAAATATGTGAGTTACTATTCCCCTATAGAAATAAGTCATCCATGTCAGAGGGCTGCCAAAAGGGCAGTGTAACAGCTCTCTCGTTTTTCGCCGTGAAACTCACCCAATACATGCTCTTGTGTCTCGTTGCCCAGCCCATCCCATGTCTCGCGCCGCTGCTTCTTTTCTTATAGCTGCCATTTTTGCTGCCCCCCGGAAGCTAATGCTGAATATTTACAGGGCGTTTGTTGCTCCAACTGCCGAAGAGACGCTTAGGCATCCAGCCTATCCCTCGGCGATATGGGCTCTGGAGTCTCATCGAAAGGGCATGGTTGATGCTGCAATCGGGCGAGGCGGTCCTGTTAAGATTGCGTGGGAGATTCATGGAGAGGGGCCGACGAAAGTTGTGGTATGATTTGAATTGTTTTTCATTTATTCAATTGTATTCTTTCATTATTTCGACATTCTTATTCCCTACTATTGTTGTCCTTTGTGCTGATCAATTCTCACACAAATGTTTAGCTTATCATGGGCTTAGCCGGCGTAAAGACTTCATGGCAGCGCCAAACCAAATACTTTGGTCACGACCGTGCAGATGAGTACTCCGTCCTCATCCTAGACAACCGCGGCATGGGCGAGAGCGACAAGCCCCTGGCCCGCTACACCACCAGCGCCATGGCCGCCGACGTTGTCGACGTGCTCGACCACGTCGGCTGGACCGCCGAGCGCGAGGTCCACCTCGTCGGCATCTCGCTCGGCGGCATGATCGCCCAGGAGGTCGCCTACGCCATCCCCACGCGCCTGCGCTCCCTGACTCTGCTCAGCACCACGGCCCAGTTTGAGAGCGGGCCGGCAAGGTCCTGGACCGACGCGATCCGGCAGCGCGTCGGGTTCGTCGTGCCCAAGTCGGAGGAGCAAGGCATGATTGATACGAGCAGGCAGCTCTTTAGCGACGAGTGGCTCGCTGCGCCGGATGACGCTGCGGCGCTGCCCTCACCAAAGACGACGCCCCGGTGCGGGCCAGCGCCTGGCTCGCCTGACGGCGAGTATCGCGCCTTTGATACCAATTTCCAGCGGTTTCAGGCGCAGGAGCTTTTCAAGAGGCGGCAGGTCGGGTGGTTTACGCGGCAGGGCTTCTTGTGCCAGCTCATTGCGGCGGGGTGGCATAGGAAATCGCCGGAGCAGCTGCGCGAGCTGGCGGATAAGGTTGGCAGGGAGCGCATCTTCATTATGCACGGAACGGCTGATAATATGATTACGGTGGCGAATGGAGAGAAGCTGATCAAGTATATCGAGCCGGCTGTGGGGCTCATTGTCGAGGGAGTTGGCCATGCCCCTGGCATGGATCGGCCTGAGTGGTTCAACAGCCTTTTGGAGGAGAGGTTTATTGCGTTTAATAAGCTGTGATAGATGTATACATTGCAAGGGCGTGAGATTTATAGAGGCTGTATTCTGTATCAACGTTTATTTGTATGCGTCAGAGCTAGCCATTAGGTATCTTTCTTTTCTTTTTTGAACACAAATGCTTCATCCGGCGGACTACACTGGAAAAAGAAAAAAGACAGAATAAAATGCTCTTTCTATAGATATTGAAAATCCTTTTCTAAGGCAGGACCAGTCCGACGCCACTCAGGTTATTATCATCCAGCTGGTTCTTCTTGTCTACGCCTCCGGCTATGGGGTTAGCCCTGTAGTTGAAAAGGTAATAGTGCAGCTGGCCGTCGCCGGCGCCAAACTTCTGCTGCTCCAGGAAGAGGCCGTTGTCCATGAGGGACAGTGCGTTGAAGACGTCGAACTTGGCGAGCTTGGCGAGGATGAGGGCGTCGTGGACGAGGTCGTTGAGGCGGGCCTTGAGGGCGGACTTGTCAAAGGGCTCCTTGAAGGCCACGTCGGTGGCGTAGTAGAAGAGGTAGGCGACACGGATGACGTCGTGCTTGGGGTTGTTGATGGCGGATGACTCGATGCAGTAGAAGGAGAAGAAGTCAGTAATGTTCTTATCGTTATCCTGTAGAGTGAGTGTTAATGGGGTTGATCATTAAAATTTATATGTAGTAGAAAAAAGTAAAGTTAAGTTCTTCGTACCTCAACGACATAAGACCAAATGTACTGGTCCTGGCCAGGCTGAGGGGTTGGGGTAAACCAGTGAGTTGCCTCCTCCTTTGACATCTCAGGGGCAATGTCGAATCGAGACATGTACTTGTCCATCAGCTTGAGAACGGCATCGATATCCGTAGTCTTCATCTCGCGCAGGCCCTTGGTGGCGGTGCGATCCGGGACCGCATACTTGCGGATTTGGTACTGGGGCTTGCTGCCGTTTGGCAAGTGGACGAAGCTGCACTCGTACAGCTTCTGCCAATTGAGCGAGCGGTGGTAGTAACGGCATGTGCTGATGGGCTTGGGGAGGACGATGCCGGCGGTGAACAAGCCCTGCCAGATTTCGTGCAGGTTGCTGATACGGGTGATCTCCTTGATGAGGACGGGGGCCAGACGCTTGCCGCGGAGCTTCTTGTGGACGCAGAGGAAGTTGACTTCGGAGGCGGTGATGGTCTTGTTGCGGACTCGTACGCGCACGGGGATGGCGGAGATGAAGGCGACAAGCTTGCGGGACTGGGAGGCGCGGACACCGACGTGGTAGTGTTTGGCCCAGCCGGGAGGCATCATGGCCCTAGTATCCGTGAATCATGATTAGCGACGATAGAGCTTTCAGCTTGGGCCGTGGGAGAGAATATGATGCCAACTCACCATTTCAGAATGCCAGGTCCGTAGTTGAATCGGAACATGGCTTCATCGTCCTCAACGTAATGTCCGTTGAGCAGCTCATAGATCTCCTTAATCTCTTCGTCGTTGTTCAGGTCCATTGTCACCCACTCAAATCCATCAACAAGTGCTGCAGGCTCCTTGGAGACCTCGTCGACCGTCTGGATCCTCAGGGGTCCCTCCTCAACAACCTTATCGTCCTCACCAAATCTGGGGACCGGCTGTGTCTGCCAGAACTTGTACGAAGCCATATCCTTGACGTTCTTGCCGGCTGCCGCAAGGCCCGTCATAATATCCTGCAGGTTCATCTTCTTGAGCATCTCGGAGATCTGGTCGGGCGAAGGGTTCGCGCTGCCGGAAGCTTGAGACAGCTCCCCTGCGAGCGCAGGGTTGAGCGCCAACAGCTCTTGCAGCTGCTGCGGCGTGAGGCCACCGATGGCCTTCTTCAGATCGGCCTCTGCGTCATCGGATTTGCCTGTCAGAGCCTCCTTGACCTTCTTCTTCTTGGACTTCTTCTTCTTCTTGCTGGCAGCAGCGGAGGCCCCGCCGGCGGCAGAGGCGTCACCAGCTACTTCTTCATCCTCCTCCTCGCCGTCAGATTCGGCCGCGGCCTGCTTGGCCTTGATTTCGGCGTCGACCTCATTGACGACCTCGTCGACCGGTTTAGATTCCTCGGCAGGCATTTGTGCTGTGGTGGCGTTTTCTAATGTTGCTTGCGGCGTCGCGTGCTTTTGTAGGTTGCAATGCGCTGTGGTGGGGTTCAGGAACCAAATCGCCGTGTTTGGTTGCGACCTGTGGTGGGGTTGGCGATAGAGCTGGAGATGACATGTGGTTGTTTCAGACGAGTGCTGTTGCTGCCTGGGGCACCTTTGGCTTATTCAGTTTAATTCCTTTTCCTTGCATGACATGAACCACACTCAGTTCCCTTTTTTCAGTATTTATTCATACTTTCACGGCAGTAAAAAATGGCAGTAGGTGGCTATCCCTTCTGAATAGCTACTGAAAAGAGTAGCTGACCCGTTACCCAAACATTGCAAATCGCATAGCTTGCAGCGTGGCGAACTGCCAATCACACAAATGCAACCTGAGCATACAGAGTACTACAACACAGTAAACAGTCTCGAAGAAATGCAATAAAATTCTCACCCTCAGCCCTCTTTCTACTCAATAGCCGAAAGAATTCTGAGAATCAATCTGAATCATAGCATTCCTACCCTAAAATGAATAACAAAATTAGCGCTTTGATCTAATAATTCTAGGGCTGTATAGTAGGAAATAGCGCCGAAGGATTTCAACATCCAATAAGGCGGAGTGCCAGAGTGGTTAATGGGTATGACTAGAAATCATATGGTTTCGGCCTCGCAGGTTCGAATCCTGTCTCCGTCGGAATGTTTCTTTTTTGTTCACTTATTCTGTCAATTTTTTCTTCTTCGCCTCCCTTTCGTGACTTTCGTGTATATTCCTATTGTGCTCCGCTTCATACATCCAACATCCAATAGGCGGAGTGCCAGAGTGGTTAATGGGTATGACTAGAAATCATATGGTTTCGGCCTCGCAGGTTCGAATCCTGTCTCCGTCGGACGTTTCTTTTTTTGCACTTGTTCACTAATAGACCTTTTCCCTCTGGGCTTAATTGGGCCAGGAAAGAAAGATTTTTTTGAAGCTTATTCTCAGCCTCTGTGCATAGATCTTCTCGCTTGAGCCCTATCAATCGTAGGCTGTGCCTTCGAGGTTAAAAGCCCTTATAATTGCCAAGCTAACAGGCGCAAAGCTCAAAATTTCATTATGCCCTGACGGTATAGATAGTTAGAAGCGGGAAAAGAACATTTTTATAGATAGAAAGACTTACCGCCCCAAGGGAAGAGCTCTTGACGAATGATTATATTTTCACCTGTTTTCCATGTGGTGACGAATGATTTCTCACTGGTCCGAACCGTGTTCGACTCTTTCCAAGAGTTGAATTCATCATCATCAAGGATCCCTAACGTCTCGCTCGCGGCAGCATGGAATAGCTTATTATCCTCAGTCCACGGGATATCCATATCATTGTATGCATGTACCAAGCTAATCCTTAGCCTGCTTCTGGTGTGGCGTACAATATTTGCAAGTCTGTTAGCTGAATGCCATTTGTCTACAATGTACCTTTCCAGAAGTCGCTGAAAAGCCGGCCACATCGCAAATGGCCCGAGAGCAGGCACAAGGCCTCCGAAGCGATAACCACTCAGCATACTGGCCAAGTCACTGAATGCTGCAACCAGAACGATGCCTGCAAATTCAACACCTTGGAGAGCATACCGTTCGGCGACACCACTGGCAACGGCGGTTCCAAGACTATGGCCTAGCAAGACGATTCTGCTTGGAGGAATCTTTGCCACGTTGATTGCCCAATCGACAACGGTGGCAGCATCTAGAATTAGGCCATTTTCGTTGGGAACGCCTGTGGAATGACCAAAACCGCGGTAGTCAACGGCTAAAACGTGGTATGATGAGGTATCAGTCAAGGTATGGTAGCTATTTGGTCGCTCATTTTGGGCGATGTGGCCAGCATTCTGTAAATGTGAGCTGAATTTCATAGTCTAAAGGCAGAAGTAGCTTACCCCATGAACTGTAGAATTACAATTAGTTCAAGTTCTATCGATTCATTAGGAGAGTTTGGAATATACTTGCAGGATATGATGAGCCTCGCTTCTGGATCGCTCGCTAGCAAGCGGAACGATTCGGTTTGGGTGAAATTATTACAGAGGCCAAGTTTTTGAGTTGAAACTGCGGCTTCGTGCTGCAGATAGAGAGGCAGTGGCATAATATGCCAAGCGTAGATTGTCTCTCCATCAGGAGTCTGTAGCTGAAATGGAGTCACTTGGTTTTCTATCAAGAGACGCCATGTAGATGTTAGAGGCGATAGCGGTCCAGTAATGACGCATGGTGGGATACGGACTGGCAAACCCCCAACCCTCTGGGGCATTAATATCTGACCACCATAGTGAATTGATGGTATGAGCATACAGGAAACTATGGGCATGTAAGACACGGCCGCAACCCAAGGAAATAATGTGCAATAGAACTTACTGTCTCTGGAAGAAAGGAACCACTCCTAGCCCTAGGAGAGCAACATAGAACGCCAATGGCGCGGCAGCCACCCAGATGGATGCTCGAAGAATAGGATGTAAAGGAATTCCCATCTCTATGGTGCGCAATGGGGCATCCCTTGCGTATGGGGTCTATGAATGAATGGCGTTGGTAGCTGCTATAAGCTTGGGCGAGTGGTTGAGTGGTTGAAGCAGTTTAGGCGAGTGGGGGATTTCGTAAGCAGCTCATCGTCATATCTCAAGACCCTCCGTTGTTTAGGCACATAGGATCAATAGGTATATTCCCAGAGACAGCCTGATGAGATATATTTTTGTGGTCCTGCTGTAGCAAGCCCACTGAAGTGCTTTTTACTGCTTTGCTGCAAATGGACAGCACCAATTAATTGCCTGCTCCCAGAAAGCAACGCAGCATACTGGTTGGCGCACCCTCTCTTTGCTGCCAATTCTGATGCCAACTTCACGCCGTCGTATACGTTTAATCAATGTGTGGGCGCTATCGCATTTCCAGCCTCGTGATATGCAGGCTCGACACCCTTTTCTTCTTGGATGTACTCCGTACTCTGGTACTTTGGAATATTTACAGACCATCGCAGCGTCTTGGGCGCTGAAAATCTCACGCTATTGATGCTTTACAGGTGGCATTTCGTGCAAGGATAATATTCCAAGACTATTCCTAATGGATTGCACGGTATAGTCGCTTATATCAGATCTGCTCTAACCCTTCTTTTCCGCATTCCTTTGCTTTTTGTTTCGCCCATCCTGGTCCACGCCCGCAGCGATGGAGGCTGGAAGCGATGTTACACGGCTATAAGCATGAGATACCCGCTATTTGCCGCTCTTTGAGACATGTTGGGCGGCGCACGCACGCTAGATTGTATATGCAAAGTACCATATGTGCGTGCTGAAGCTTAGTGCACCTGGAGGAGACGTTGGGCTTTGGCGGCTGAGGGTTGAGGCTCAGCAGGATCTACCTTTGGCTGCTCGTAGTGCATACAGTACCGCAGGTACCTGCGCAGAGAGAGGCTCTTGGAGTACGACTCGAAGCGAGCCTCGAGCTGGTTGCTTTCCGAATCAGGTATGTGCATATCACTGTCAAGGCTATAGGATCTGAGCGCCGATTCTTCCTCGAAAATCCCTGCTGGTCGTTGGGAGAGAGAAATTATACATGTACGCTCGCCGCACTCCCGGAGGAGGCTCCAAGGCCCGAGGAGCCTAGCACTCGCGGCAACTCGTTGTACCTGGTTAGGCTACGGCGTGCATTAAGCACTGTGAACCTGGACGGTGGGGAGGGGACGGTGCGTCAGCCTCCGCCAATCCCATGGCGCCGCCGGCCAGCCCCGTCACTTAGCGGACCAATCAGCAGGGGCTGCTGCTGTGCCATCGAGTTCTGCAGCACTGCAATCCACCCCTAGTAGTGCCAATTAACGGCAGCTTCCAGGATTTGGTCCAGCCAGAACGGACTGCACATCGCCCAGTATTTTATCGCTTCTCGTCACTCTGCATCGTCACAGCCCGCTGCCCTCGCTCTTGCTATTGTCTCGCCGGTAGCTGGGCCCCCTCGTCGCCGGCCGCTTGCTGGACATTCGCATGGCGTCCCTATGATGCTGACCCGCCGCCAAATCTTCGCCTGTCGCAGTCGTGTAAACCGTCTCGAGACGCGATGGAGAGGAAGCGGAAGCTCCCCGCGAGGACTTCGGCCCGCGTTGAAAACGCCAACAAACGTCGGAATTTGACGCCTCGTGAGGAACGATCCGTCACTCCAGCTCCTCCTCCGCCTCCTCCAGAGCCTGTGGTCAAGGAGCCAACGCCGCCGCCGCCGCTGCCGACCTCGCTCCAGCCAGGAAAGCCGCTGCCAACCGTAGAACGCGCGCAGCCTGGCGATCTGTCTGTCAAAGAGTATCAGTCTGTATTAGAAAGGTATGTCTACGGTGATGCGCCAAACAGCCACTGCGCTCGGTTCCGCTGACATTTTCGATCCAGTGGCGTCCTCGCAGAATCTCTCTCTCGGTCTCGATATCGATGGATCAACGATGGGCTCTTTGAAAAGTTCTGGACCAAACCTCATAAGCGCAAGGGCGTCGTCAACGAGGACCCGAAAAACCCTCCCAAGGATAGCATGACCAAAGTCGGCTCAGTTACCATAACCATTGAGCCCCATATAGTTGAAGCCACCATGTTTGTCGTCAAGGAAGCCAAGCGTGCTCCCCCGCCTCGACCACCGCAGCAGGCTTCAAAACCGCTGCCAGTGACTCAATCGCAAGCTCAATCGCAACCACAGCCGCTAGCTCGACCAGTTCTCCAGTATGGCCCTCCAAATGGTTCTATGCCTCCTCCGCCTCCACCTGGACCTGGGTCGACGACACCAACTCCAGTCGCAGCTACCACACCAAAGCCTGCTGTTACCCCGAGTGCTGTTCAGAGTCCTTCTCAACGGCCACCACCACCTTCGCCGAGTGTTTCAGCGCCTCAGCCTTCACCATCACCGCTTACGACTATCAACGTAGCCACGTCACCATCACCGGGCCCAGCGCTTTCTGCACAGCAGCCCGCTGCGCCTCCTCCTGCAACTCCACAATCTCTTCCCGCAGCTGCTCCGCTGCCTCTGGCTCGACCTCCTCAACCGCCGGTAAATACCGTCCCGGCGCAGCAGCAGCAAGCTCGCGCACCATTAGCAAGGCCGCCGCCGCCTCCGCCGCTAATTATACCTGCCAACAATCCTCGACCACCCAATGCAAAGCCTGTTCCTAACGACCCGGTCATTGCCCTGCTTGCACAAAAGGCCTCGGGAGACCCTGAGCTGCGTGACCTGATGAAACGAGTAGCTGTGGGCCAGGCTAAGCAAGGAGAACTCGATCGCTTCCAAAAAATCATTGATCAATTGAATGCAGAGTATCGGCGAAGTGGTGGACAGCAGGGACCTTCGGCCGATAGGCTGCTTGTAGACGGAAGAACAGTCAAGTACTTTGCAGATGAAGTGCGGACTATTCTTGACATTGTTTTGGCTTCCAATCCTCGCCAGAGGTCAAGCGAGCTGAGACCACCGCCAAGGAGCGATCCCCTCGTTGTGATGCTTGTAAAGACAGCCTTGGAAGACCAAAAAACCAACGACATGATTCGACGTATCGCGGGGGGCACTCCTGGTTTTACGGATGCGACAGACCTCAAGGAAATTCTTGACCGGCTCCACAGAGAAGCAAAGCCGGCGCCGCAGACGCTGTCTACCCCTCTCTCTGCAAAGCAGCCTAACGATACTCTCAATGGCCATGCGAGAACTTCGAATCCCCCAACGCCTCAGCAGGCGAATCCCCAAGCGCTACGATCAAAAGGCCCTCCACCCGCACCGAAGCCCGATATTTCTGCCGTGGTGTTTGATTTTGGAAACGGCGATCGCTACCTGTTTCCTAAATTTAGCATCCTTGAATATCTGCCCACCCCATCCGGCCAAGAGGTGGTTGCGTCCTTTCTCATTGTGCGCAAGGGTAGTACATCTGAATATGGAGGAGACCCCGAGCTTGACTATTACCAACCCGTCACAATACGCATTTCTACAAGTACTGGCCGCTATCTAGAGAATTTGATGCGTGTAGTGGCGCCTCAAGATGAGGTACGGCGTTATATGGATGATGTTATGGACAACATGACGCGCGCAGAATATGTGCTCCTGGCAATGCAATTGCCAAGAGTGTCAAAAGATGAAAAGGCCAATGGCGCTCCCGACGAGCCCAAGGCCAACATAGCAACGCTCAAGGTCGAAACGGACTCTGACCAGCCTGTGGAGGCGAAACCTTCTGTTCTGTGGGCAAAGACAGCTAACCCTACGAAACAGTTGGAATTTTTCAAACCCCATGATCCAGAGGAGGAGAACGAAGCCAGATATAAGCGCCTCATTCAATCAGTGACAGCTAAAGATGCTTAACGACTGTTTTCGTTTCGATGACATAGAGTGTTGGCGACGCTTTGTACGGCTAGAACCTTTGTTTTTATTTATTATTTACATGCTTCAAGAGATGTGCATTTCATGGAGCGGGACCAAGGGGTTTGGAGTACTGGAATTGGGCAATGAATGATACGGAATAATTCAATAGGACGTCTCAACACACGGGAGCTGTATGACCCTTTTTCACAGCTGGACTTTTTTTTTTTTTTTTTTTTTTTTTTTTAA